TATGTCTACATAGACATATATTATGTCTATATATGTACAGCTGGATCCCAGAATGACCTAGCAGGCAACTTCAACAGCCTACCTGCTAGCAACTTCCTTCCACTGTGAAGATCTGCTCTACCACAGCTGCTTCCAGACCCGCGCACTGCTTAAGGACCCAGGGCTGACCTGAAACACTTAAATCGCGTCCTGCAGTCCAGTCTTCCCACCTCTGCAAACCTCGCAAGCTGGCTGGGTTTCACCTGCAGCAGCCATATGTGTGGGAATGAAAAACATCAAGACTTCAGTCTAACCTGGATGCGAACCTGAGCAACTTAAACCAGCTTTGAAGTCAGATCCTACTTGGAAGCTGGTCCCGCTTTGAGCAGAGGCTAACCAGGTGACCTCCAGAGCTCCCTTCCTTAGTTACTCCACGATTCTGTGTTCGAAATAGGCAACCAAAGTTTTCTTTCACATAAGAAATCCTCATGTTATGTGCATTTTACTTAGGATCCCACGCCTAAGCACTGCCATGGAGCTGGGAAAGCATGGACACAGCACGCTGCACTCAGTTCCCAGGCTGCTATCACCCTCCCGTAGAGGTTCAGAGAAGCAGATCTAGACCACCTCTGAAACCATTTTAAATTACGCTCACTGGAAACCTAGCATCTCAAGAGGCAAACACAATTCTCCTACTCGTGCTTCCAACCTCCTTCCAACCTGCACCTAACGCCAACCAGGCAGAAGCACACATCCAATACGATGCCTTCTCTTTTTCTCGGCAGACATGCTCTGCTGATGAACAGAAAGCCAGCAGGACAGATAGAAATATTTGTACTATTTGCATACCCTATAAAGCTCTAGAATAACTTTACCAGCTCAGGGCAAAAGATCTGGAGAACACTGTAAGCAAACATCTGCTCAATATACATTTACCGTTAAAGAGTAAACGGTACGTTTGGCTCCATAAAGAACAGGTTGAAAATTATCAGAGAACAACATATCATGTAAACCGATGGCATGGCCCAGAATACTCTGTGAAGCAATGACCACATCAGCACAAAACCAGCTCTCGAGCATCAAAATGGTTTGAATGATGAGAGATTAGCATATAAACGTGGAATAATATTCACGAGGAGAGACTGAAAAGACCAGGATACTGCAATTGTTTGACAAATGTTTATAAAGTAATGAATGATACAGAAAAAGATGGATGGGAAGCTTCTACTTCCAGGCAACCAACTCCAGAACAAGAACATGCTCAGGGCAACTGAAGATGGGGAAACCCTGAGCCAGTGAAGGTCTTCTCTGACCTAAACGATTCTATGATTCCACAAAATGTTTTTAATGTCATCTGTAAATATACGATGAACCGCTTTGGTAAGGTGTAAAAGACAAGAAGAGAGGTTTCTAGGGGTCTGAATGTCAAATGCAGATCTATTATGTACAGCTTGGCACTATATTAATAACAAAAAGGTGTGAAAGACGACATGATGAAAGGTGAAATGCTGTCCAGGGTTAGGACCAATCTTTAAAAGGCAAAGAGGAGACCTTTAATACCCTATTTCTACTTTTGTCAGCCTCCTTCCAAACAGCTGATAGTCACCACTATCAAACCCAACAGTATGAAACGCACGGCGCACGGATCCAGAGCACAAACAAGCATCCCTATGGAAAAATTAATGTTTTAGAGTGTCCAACGCCCCATATCCTGGTGCTGTGAATTCCTCCTGCTGCTTTCCTAGCTGCGCCTAAATATTAAAGCTGGATCAAGGGTGGTTTTCCCTTCTACACGTTTTCCTGAAATATCAAAGATACGGCTTTGTCTCAAATCAGAGCAGAAAGGGAAAAAAGAAAGTTTTGTAAGAACTGCTGTATACAGCCAAATCCTGAGACTGGAAACAATTCAGAGGTCTAAGTGGGATCTTAATTCAATTTTACAGCAGTTTAATCCCTTTGAATTCAGCAGCCTTCCTTCTACAGTGGTGTAAGGAAGAAAAAAAAAAATCACGTCATGTGTCTTTTCATAGGCAGGTGAGCTTCTGTAGTGTGATGGAAATGAGAAGATGAATGTCAGAAAGTGGGCCAAACTCTTTTCTCCGTTAAACAAGCATGAGCGAGAGTAGGATTTTTCTCTAGGAACTGAAGCTGACAGCATGTCAACCAGCACTCATTCAGCTGGGAGGGCTGGGAGAGATTATTTAAAGTTGTCAGCTCCTTCCATGCCTGGCTTTTGGCAACTCTTCTTGTCCCTTTCCACTGTATACTCTTTATACATGCTGTTTTAAATTAAGAAACTGAAGTGAGGGAACTGAAAGGTAAGCTTAGAGAAAATAATGCAGAAACAAATGCTTTGCCCTAGTTTTTGGTTTTTTTTTTTAAAAAAATTAAATCTACTGGATAGGGAGCTTGCAAACACTGACAGGTCCTACAGTGTACCCCGACAGAACCCTGTTGTTGCTATTTGCTTCCTCGTTTAACTACACCACTGTCTAATTATTACGGACATCCTCAGGAATAAAGACCCAATGCTATGGAAAAGGGTAAGCCAAGGTACTTCTGACAACGATTCCTTTCTATCTATGAAGCAGAATGCCCAACCAGGAGAGAAAAGCACTATTTTCTTTTAAAGCATTGTTTTGCTCTCAAGACTTCAAAGCTACTCGATGAACTTCAGGCAGGGAGCGTGTCACGGAGGTTTCTGAAAGAAAAAGTATCCAGTGAGTGTGCACTGCCGTGCTGGGGTCCCTCTTCTGTTCTGCTACAGTATATATAATATCATACTGATCTGAAACCAGCGAAAATACTGTGGAAGTGCTGTGCACCCTTCACGATTTCACTCTTTTCAGCCACCTAAAAAGCAGCACTGTTCCAACGCTAACGACGTTAACAGCACATCTCTAAGCGAGCGTTTTTCTAGGCAAAAGGAAGAACTTGGCGTACGTGGGTGTAGGTACAAAAAGACAACTCTAACAGCATTCTCCGAGCTGATCCAAAGCCTATTAAAGACAACAGGGATCTTTTCTCCTGCGCTTACAGGTTCTGGATTAGGCTCTGCTTTAACTCATTTTAAAACGATCCCCCGTTCACCTCGATTGCTACCTGTTGCAGACGCTCGCGCCAAAGATCCGCAACATTATGGGTGCGCACGTAGGGTTAAGCACCTCCAGCTTCTGCCTGCAAACCATCCCAAGGAATTTTTTTTTTTTTTTTAAAAAAAAGGAAAAATATCCTTCAAGCAAATTACCATTTTGCTTATTGGGCTTGTGTGGACCTTTTAAACCCGTCCTATTTTCTATCAGTATTCACTCTCACGTTATTTCCTCCATTTTTAGGGCGCCTTGGCTCTGTTGAGGAGCTGGGGATCCACACGTAGAGAGAAGATCAACGTCTACAACCATTACCTGAACTTGGAATCGTTGGGAAATGTCAAGGTAAACGTTAAAGGACTGTTTTCCCTTTGAAGCCCCCACGTCTAACTATACAATACTATTGACTCGAGAAGTAATGCTGAACACTGGAAGTGTTCAGTCAGCATTTTAAACTATTATGAGCTACCTTCTGAACCATTGCCAAGTTAATAGACAATGAAAGATAATGAGCTTGAAATTGGGTGTTAAATTGCATTTTTGGTTCTCTCCTTTTTTTTTTTTCTTGAAGTTTTAACTGTTTCCTGCAGAAACAACATCATCTTTGATGTATCATTATGCAAACATCTATTTTTAGGTGACGCCAAAGAAGAAAAAATTAGGAAAGAAAAAATAAGAGAAAAAAAAAAAGTCAAGCGTAGGCTGAACCCTCGCTCCTCCCGTGACATGTGTGCGGGAAGGGGTGGAGAGGCAGACGACACACAGCGAGACCCAACACTTTCTGGTCCCCAGAGGGAGGAAGGTGGGGAGATGAGGTTAGGTCTGCCGGCAGCGTGAGCCTCCAAATTAAGGAGGAGATGACTCGACTTGCTCATTAACGGCGTGCCTGGACGGCGACAGCCAGGGAACGAAACAAACAGCCCGCGTTTGTATCGCACGGTTAACGCCACGAGTATTTCTATGCCCTCCCAAGCCAATTTCAGTCGAATTCAGGGTTATTTTTACAACCTGCAGCACCTTTGTGACCCAGGGGTAACGTGGATCCAACCTGCCCATGGCATGGCCAGGGCTGCAAAAGCCAGAAAACGCTGTAAATCTACGTTATCAGCATGCAGAAAATAGCAGCTCTTTTTCTAAGAGCAGCATCGTGCAGTAAGAGCTCTTCACTGCAATAACATAATATTTAGTGCTTCATCTACAATCACGTAATTAAAAAAAAAAAAGTGTGACTCCTAGCAGTATAAATACATAAATACACCTCTTAAAAAATGTGAAAGTCAGTCTAGCACGGAACACTCGCTCCAAACTTGAATGGAAGGTCTGCCACTGACACTGCGCCTTCTCTACATCCATAACTGTGAAGAACAGGACACGATAAATACCAGTAAATTATGGTCCTGCTAAACTTTTTTTATGCTCGCCAAACGTTAAAAAGTAACGAAGTAAAATGACCATAATTATGAAAAGGATTCAAATAATTCCAAAAGGTAGAAAAATCTTACCTGCGTTTTTTGAGGATGGAAGATTAAATTAGGATAGGAAGGTAGGCTTATCCTCATTAGTATAATTGTAGGATCTTTCTTTTATTTTCCTTTTAAACTAATGAGTTGCATTAATCCAGGTTCATTTTTATAAGCCTCTTGGGTCCAAATGTAAAGGACAGTCATTTTAGAAAACAATAAATTAAAAAAAAAAGCATGTAGCCTGCATTAAGTGCACGTATTTCATAAGACCTAGGTTAATACAACTGGCATTTAGTTTAATTAATCCTTGTTAGTGTAACGACTAATATCCCTCCCTAGCATGTTTCCTTTAAACATTAGTATGTTAATTAAATGTTGTTTTTTTAAGGGTTTTTTTTTCCTTTGTACTTCAATATAGCATTATAACACGTAAAACTATTCTGAACAACTACCTTATAGAGATGTTTCCTTACAATATCTGGTCTCTTGCAGAAATTCTGAAGCCTTTTAAAAAGCTGTTCAGGTGTAGAATACAGATATTCAGCTGCAGGAAAAACAGATACATTTTTAATGAAACAAAAACCTCAAAGCACACACTCGATATTAGTCACTTTACTAATTAAAAATGCATATTGCTCTGTGCCGCCTCGTGTTTTACATTATTTAAGCATGATTTTATAAGGTTACCTCAGCTCACAAGGATGTTTAATGCTAAATAAGACAGTGTAGTTGTGCTGTTTAGACATCTCCTTTGGGTGATTAAAATACATTATTCTAATGTAACACAATGCATATGTGATACATTTAGTGATGAGATTTTTCAAAGAACTGGTACTACATTAGTGTGTATCCTGTACCGCAGTTGCATACTATTAAGTATTAAATTGTTTATATAATTTGGTGTGATTTTCAGGCCTAGGTTGTGGGGTTTTTTTTCCCCCTCCCTTTTTTAGTGTGTATCAAAAAAAAATCTGCAAACCATTGCAGCATCGCTGACCTTTTAACAAAAATCTATCATTACGAGTTGTGTATGCTAACAATGAAGAATGCTATTTCAAAACTTGCTTTTGTGTTATCTTAAAAGAACAGATGGCAAATATAAACTTCGTCTAATGTATTAAAACACATAAAATTTTCCTTAACACTAACATGTTGGCTTGCCAAATAAACAATTGCTTTCGCTCAAGTTGAGCCTCAAACTTTACATTTTAGCATGGATCACGTCATGAGGTTCCAGCAAAGAGAACACGCAACAACGCGGCTACCTGGGAATATCTCGGGGTACACCAGGGCTTTGGGACACAGCGGGTAACAGCCGCAATGCACAGCTTCCACCCTGCAGAACAGAAATAATAAATAGACAAAACCAGTCAAAAATTTCTTTTGGTGGAAGAGCACCGAGGTTGACTGCCTATAGCAAGAGCGAAACGTTTTGTTGGTCTGTCGTTTTTTTTTTTCTCCCTCTTCAGCAGCACAATCCTTCTAAATGCCAAAGTTGCTCTTTTTCAAGAAAATTTTATTGATCATATGAATTACATAGAACAGAACAGCGAGCATATGTTTTGTTCGCTGAATAAATCAAAGCGCGGCTCTGCATTTTTTTGTTTTTTAAATACTGCTTAACACATTTTATAATCAGCAGACAGACACATGTAACAACATGGTGAGGCATGGACGGCTTTTCTTAATAACGCTGCGGGCGGTGAAGGGCCGGCGGCTCCTCGGCACCGGCCCCTACCTGGCTCCACAGATATTCCATTAAATACAGCCGAGGAACCGCCGCATGCTTCGGGCTAGGGCATCTTAACTTCTGCGCACGCTTCCCATAATTTCCTTTATTTTTTCAGGACATCGTGGTTGTTAATAATGAGGTTCCTTCACTGACACTTTGCATTTTGTGGTTGTATTTTTTTTTTTTTCCCAAGGGAGGATATACCCACCTCTTGGAATCACCCAAGTATTTTATAATCGCGACACAGCGGCACGAAGTTTTCTAGCAGCAAAACCCAAAGAAAAGGTATCCTCTCCATGGCTGCATTTTAATAGCAGAGTGGGGTTAAGGCATCGAGTTTTCAGTTTATTTTTTTTGCATAATGACCATTGATCTGACATGATGTCCCTCCAAAGATACAACTGTAATTTCTGTTGGCCAGAAATTACACAGTGAAATTCAAAACACTTCTTAAAATATGTTTATTTTATGAGAGCCTTTGAATTTCCTCCAACATGTTGACCATACGAGGGACTTTATTTTTAACTTCAGCTTCCCTCAGTGCCCAGAATAAAAATCTGAAATCTTGTCAACGTTCACCTTTTCTATTTTCAGTGACAATCCAAAAGGCTTTCGCTACCTTCGTGTGCATAGCAGGTTTGGTACTTTACTGCAGGCACCCAGAAGGAATTTGGTTTCCTTTAGGTCTACCCAGTTTTAAATAGGAAAAAAATAAAATAAAGAATAACACATTCAGCTTTCATGCTAGAGAACTACATGTATCCACAAAACCCAACGATACACGTTTCTCTTTTGCTAAGCCATGATTGCTAGTTGGTGGGTTTTTTTCCATAAACTTTTAAAATTTCTAATTTATGGTTGTTTTTTTTAAATAACATATGCACTTCAGATTGCATTTTAAACATTAACAACAATTTCAAAGTGTACATCGTCTAGCACTATATTTTTTACCAAAGGGAAATGTTTCTGATGTGTGATTTAATTGATGATTTCAGTTTTTAAATATTGTGTCATATGTCAAAGCAAATAGATTTTTAAAGTTTTCTTTAATCTAGGAGGAAAAAAAAAGAAGAGTGAAACTGTGGACATTTCAGTAATAGCTCAGATCACTAAGTTATGTTAAAATATTTGCTTTTTAATCATATCGTCTGCAAGGGAGGAAAAAAAAAAAAAAAGAACAGCTCCCTAAAAGAAAACTGCAGGCCAAGACGCAATCTGAGTCATGGTTTGAGTACGT